GGTGTCCCAAGTTCGGTTATTTGGAAAGGAACAAAAACTTGAGGACATACGATATGTAGTATATCTGTGTGTGTGCGCGCATACATACACGTGTGCAAAAAAAAGAAAAACTAGCGTTAAGTGCTACCTTTTAGAAGAAACCAAGTAACATATTTAAACCGCAGGTATGGGTATTGAAGAGTTAGACTTCGCGCTATGATGTCTTTCTAAATTGCTGAATGATGGGAATATAGCAATAGATTAGTGCAGATTCCATAATAATCAAAGTTTAATAAATGCAAAGCACACTTTCAGCCATGTCAAAGGGAATGGGTTATCCGCGTTCCAGATCGTTATGTATCTAACGGTGCAGTAGCTCGAAAGACAATGGAGCTCGGAGAAATGAATCTTGAAGTGGAACTAGAAAATGAAAACCAAGAATGTATACATCACTGATGTCTACCCTGAAATTCATTCATCATTTTACATTTCTTTAGGTTAATCCTGCATTTAAAAGGAACGGCTGAATTCTCCTTAATAAGCAATATACACCAGTGCTGAGTAATTGAGCAGCAGATCTTCGTAGTAATTTATTAGGGAATGAAAATTTTATTTTAATTAATTGTGTATGTCACGAAAGGGAAACAAAATGTAGACTTAGTTGAATCGTTAAAAAGAGTGCACTAAAAGTAGCACGTACTTAAAGATTAATACCCGATTTTCCAAAGATTATTACTCGATTGTAGGCTGAATGAGAGAGCAATATTCAAGAAAAGCTGCTTATCTTAAACTTCAATTTATATCAATTTCATTTTTCTTTTTTATTACACTGATAAAATGAACTGTAATTTTGATTCCCTTTGTTGAATATATTTTGATTAGATTAGACGCCTTGGCGAAGAGATTTTCTGTAACTTGACTTGCATTTCAATCTTCTACATCTAGCAAATTATCAATGTAATTTTCCATTTTGCACTTCCATTTTATTGGTTTTGACAGAATTTTTCATGTTTTTTTTTTGTAAATGCTGCACCCGAGATAATGTCAATGAAATGAATGTTAAAGCTATTTGGAAATTGCAATACTTTCCCTATCTTTTCATGTGAAATACATTTGATAGGATTACACTTCAATTTATGCCTAATGTCGGTGTCTTCTCTTGTCACTCATAAATTAACTTTTACCAACTCTGTGTCTAAAATAAGTTTTTTCATAGAAACGAATAAATTCTTTTTAGAACACTGCTTTCTCAATTATTTTCCAAAAAACTCTTTGGGTGGTCTCAGATTGAGGAATCATATCTATCAATCCGGAAATGAATTTTTTTAAATGAAGTTAAATACCAATGACTTTTAAGTTTTAAGCGCAGTTCAGTTTTTGCATGCTAAACTTAAGGAAAGTGATCAATCGAAAATCAGTTAAGTGTCAAGTAAGTGCGCTCTTACGTTTAGTTCAACTGAAGCATAGATTTTATTGGAAATCAAAAAACTAAAAATACATATAACAGCAAATAGAATTATATTGAATTGTGTTGCTTCCAAATTCCAATTTTTCATAACCATTTAGATCGGTATATGTATAGATCGGTATTATGTTCTATCTGCAGTAGAAGTTCCAGGATGCAAAAATCAGAAATTTACAATACTATGTATAATTTTCACTTTCCGTTAAAGGTATACTGAATGACAACGTGTCGCGGTTTATTGGGCGCAATAATCACACTGCTGGTGTGCACAGTGCAACCGTTGCAACCGTTGTCGCATAGTGCAACCGTTCCGCAACAGCATACCGGCATTCAAAGCTACAGTGTACCATTTTTAGAACTTCACATAGTAACAAAAAACTAACAATTACTTTCACATTTAATACTGCCTTCAGAGAAGAACCATTGAATCTTAGGTATTAATTGCAGGTAACTGGAAAATTATTTTGTGGTACCCAGCCAGCTCCAGGTGTACAAGTTAAATTGGTCGATGATGATTTTGGTAAAAAACGATGTTATAGTTCTTATTACGGATTTGCCAAAGCCTATAGATGATGGAAAATTTCCAGTGTTCACTTTATTAAGTTAAATAGAATTCCTGGCATCAAATGATAATTTACTGAATTCTGCTCTAATCTCACTCTTATGTCAGTCCTAAGTAATACTGTAGTATCAACCCATTTTGAAAAATTAGAGAATAATTTCAGGATCAGATCCAGACGATAATTTGGATGAAGGTTACACCGATCAACATGGTTATTTCAAATTGTCCGGTGGTACGAATGAAATGACGACTATCGATCCTCATCTTAAAATCTACCACGATTGCAACGATGGCGTTACTGTGTGTATACTTATACTTCTTTATTTAACTACTGCACATTAATTATTAGGTTATTGAACTTATCACTTCCAAAGGGATATTTTTGAACAATTGATATTAAATAAAGCTATATTAGTTCGCTTGATGAATATACAGATAGATTGTCTAAAAAGTTCTCAGATATTAAAGATAGTGATCCAACAGAAGGATCTGCACAAAATGCTTATTTTGTCGTGGTATTGCAATTGCATCACATAAGTTATGCTTTTATTTCATTTACTTATTTGAAGCCATGTCAACGGCGTTGGAAGTTCGAATTGCCGAACCACTACATTACAAATGATAAAGTACCGCAAAAGACTATCGATATTGGTACGTGGAATCTGGAAGCTATTATGCCTGATGAAAGCCATGATTGTATTCACTAGCAACACAGTGAGAAAATCAACGGAATCGCATGTGAAACCACAATCATTTTTCGTGTAGCTAACCACTCACATCCCCGAGGGTGGGAGAGAGAGGAAATGTAGAATTATCACTCTATTTCTAATCTTTTAAAGTGTATTCAGATTCAGCTGTCAACATAAGTTTTTTTCCTAGTCTGATGGCAATTCATGATTTGTTCATGCAGTTTGTATTCAAACAGAAAAATAAATATTTGTGTGTTATATATATTACATATAATCTTGTACATTATTACATCGATATTTTCAAAAACAGTGCTATCATTTCCATGTGGAGAGTTTCGAAAAGGTTTGCGGGACCTTTTAGTGAATAAAAAGAGATGGGATGGCTTTTTTCCTTTCGGAAACACTGGTTCCCTCGCACACCAATTTTAATTATCCATATTTTCATTAAAACCTCTGCCAACGAAAAAAAAAGGTACCGCAACAGGTCAGCCATATGGACCAGAGCCAACGGCTTTCAGATGAAACAGTGAACTGTAGCGGTGTTTACAGGCTAAAGGTTTCGTCTGTCACGTTGGAATGCGGTTTGCCTTGAAGGTTTCTGCTTGGTTTCATTGTGATTGATGAAGTTGAGGTGTGCAAATGGAAGCCGTAGTTGGCCGCTCTTTGCTTTTTGTTGGAACTGTTACTACAGAGATCCTGGAAATCGCCGTAATTCGAAACTACTGTCGGGAACAAGCTATTCTCTACTTTTTTTGTATTCTTTTTTATCTGAGATGTAGAAATCTTGGTTGCTAACTGCACATCACGTTTTCATCTTTTTATTTAATCGTAAAAATGGATGATTAAATGCCATTAAATGAATGGAAGAGTATTCTGGATGAAGTCTTTTATTATGCTTCCGTCATATTGCTGCAAGGTCATCTGCTATTCCTTCTCTCCTTATGCTGTTCTTTGTATGTGTAGAAGAGTTTCCTGCTACGCTACGCTACAACATTGATGCGACTTTTTATTTCTGTTTTTTTCTTCATGATTTAAATTGTACTTGATGGATATTGGCAAAATTTCGGCGCGTTTTCATTGTTCAGGATTTCTTGGGAATTCAGTATTTAAGTCTGCCGTTAGGACTCTTAAGGACCTAGTTTCATTTTAGAGTTATCCAATTAGTATACAGTTCCGACTTTCATGGATAAACTATATGTATTTCATATTAGATCTGGTGCAGTTTTTTCCAAGAATTGGTGGCTATAAGTGTTCTCTACACTCTTAATTTACTTTGAAGCTTCTTTTCAAATATCCACGAAGGAATTCAATCTTAAACAAAGACCAGGAGAGTACTGTGTATGTCGTAGTACATGAAAAAGAATGCAGAAAGTCAATTGAAGTTCAGATATAACAATTTTTGACATATAAAAATTTTTGTGGTGTTAATAGATGGCTTTTTCAGATAAAGTGTGATGGAAGCAGTAGCGGAGCACGATTTCAATGCAACAGCTGAGGATGAGCTCAGTTTTCGGAAAAATCAAATTTTAAAGGTGAGCTAGATTCAGTCCTATTTAGAAGTGGCAACAAAAATTTCTGTAGTTTTCAAAAGAATCATGATCAGATGAAACTAATGGAACCTCCACTGAGTGATTCTAACCTTACAGTGCAACCCGAACACAAAATCGACATCAGATTTGGGCAACTTAATTCATGTAGATAGGATACACTACCAGAAATATCCAATAAAACAAGCAGCCGCTTGTTGGACCGCGAAGACTATTTGGTTTATGTGGTACACATCAAACAGATTAATTAAAAGCAAGTTACTGTGTCTTGCAACTCTTTTTATGAAGCTGACACAGGGCCATGTTTTCACTGATCTTCGTAATACTCTGCGTTAGATTATCGCGCAGTTATGGATGTCCTAGGTAGATAGCAAGTGATATAGTCGCTAACAACCGCAAGATCTCAATCATATTTAATTATTTTTCCGTACTGAAGGGGATCAGACAGAGATTCAAGTAAGTGTCATAAATTTATGCTTTATTTCAGTTTTTGATTTGTGACAAGTTTTTCAGGTTTTAAATAAGGATGAAGATCCACACTGGTACAAAGCAGAATTAGATGGGCATGAAGGTTTTATCCCCAGTAATTATATTAGAATGAATGAACATAATTGGTTCGTTTTTCTTTACTTAGCGGTTTTAATTCACTGCTCTCATCTTACAGTATGGCACTGTTTAATAAACCCCAACGTAGTAGCTTGAGATTTCTGGTTTCGAGGCTGTTAGATTGGTGCTTTTAATCGTTTTTTCTATCGCGTTTGAAAGTGCGATCATAACATTATACCTGGAAAAACAAGGCCTTTGACATCTCATGATCGTAAACTTAATTTGGATTGCATATTATCACAGTGTTTCTCTGTTTAGGTATCTTGGAAAAATTAGTCGTGCAGATGCAGAAGCATTGTTGTTGCGACCGGGAAATGGGGACGGTGCATTTCTTGTGCGACAGTCCGAGAGTTCACCTGGCGACTTTAGCATTTCTGTGAGGTTGGTGGTCCATTTATCATTTTTATGATTCTAGAGCATCGTCAGCAATTAAAATGCCTAAATTGATGAAAGGATGTTAAATAGAAGTGATAGACCTTGCTTCAGATGTTATCTGTTGGTTGAACTGATTATTTGAAAATGTAATGAAATGTCAAAAAACGTTTAGTTGAAATCAGCAACTGACAGTATGTTATATATGATGACAAAGTTGACTTGTTGGGAAAACATTTGTGAACGAATTTACTAAGACTGATTATCAGGCCTTGGCCAATTTTACAGCGTCCTTCACAAGTTTCTGCGTACGAGTATTAGAACATATGGTGGAAAACAATTGCAAATATCCACTACATTCCATGATTTTTCTTTATTTATATTGAAATAGTTCCGTGCATGGCATCATAGATGTTCATTACTATTAGGGTACTAGTATTCAGCATACCGAATACGTATTTTTCTCCCAGTTTTTCTACTAGTTTTTTTTGTCCGCTTATTTAACTTGCCCCACTGAAATTTTTTAATCTAACAAGGGTGATTGAAAAAGTGCTAATTGAAATTTCTTACTCGTCTAGTTTTACCTGAAAACTTTGTTTTATAGATTTCAAGATTCAGTGCAGCATTTTAAAGTTTTACGCGACAATAACGGCAAATATTACCTTTGGGTGGTAAAATTCAATTCTATCAACGAATTAATCAATTACCATCGGTAGGCTTACAATTTATTATCGTCAATCATTTGGCCATTAATAAAAAAGGCGGCTGTATCTATTTCATAATTTCTTGCTTTGTATCGCATTGTTACTAATTCATACATATTCCATTTCCTTCCTCGACTTGTTTCTTTTTCCGTTTTTTCTACAACTTAGTATCCTGTAACTGTAGCTTAGTGAATTTTGTCTGCCAACAACTGTTCCTTGGAAAACTATCAAGCACTGAAATTACGAAGGAAACAAACTACAGACGTTTGTTTCAGGTCGGCATCTGTTTCTCGTTCGCACACAATTTTGCTTCAGAATATGGATAGCGTGGCAGCTCAAGGTACTCATTTAGTGCAGGCCATGTTTGATTTTAAGCCACAAGAAGAGGGTGAACTGGGTTTCAAGCGAGGAGATATTATTACTGGTAAATAATACAGTTTGATATCATTGTAAATTGAACACTATGTCTTTATTTGATTTTTAAAATTTAGGACATTCTGATTGAAATCAAAAAAAAATTACGAGCTTTTGAAAAAACTGGCGCGCTCTGTTTCAGTGACAAATCGGGAAGATGAAAATTGGTGGGAAGGTACGTTGAACGGGAAATCGGGCATGTTTCCAGCAACTTATGTTTGTCCATTCAATAATTCTGCAAGTGCTCATTAAAATACTCAACTGTGTATCCAGAGAAATGTTGATACTTATCTATTTATTTTTTGTCCCGGACAATTCCCTTTAAATGCCCATCCAATCTTTTTGGGATTACAGTTGTTAATCGAGCTCACAGTCTTCATTTTATTCTAAATTTCAAAACCTGCACATTCATCCTAAGGTAATTTCGAAGCATGGTTTTTTAGGATTTTATGACAGGTGAAGATTAAATCTAATAATTTATATAGCGTTGTTGTGTATTTTGTTTATCATTAGTTACCTTTATGCAGGTTTTTTTTCCATCTTGCTAAACAAATTGGTAAGCTGCTGAACCGCAGTAAATATAACTCTAATGGCGGTCTAATCTTTGTGAATACATTGTAAAACAATTAAACTAACGGTTGTAAATTAATTTTTAGGCCTAATGAATTGTGGAATAAATTTGGATATAATTCTATGAGAACATTCTAAGCTGTCCAATTTTACTCGCATACAGGTTCATTTTGGATTTGTCTGCGAAAACAAACCTTTTTGTGAAGTAGAAAAGTTTGCCTTCGACATTTTGAGTGCGATGAATGTAAATTATAGTTTTCATTGAGATGGTCACAGTTCTGAAACTTTTTTTCCGAAACTAGATTATGAAGGAATTGTGCAGTTTAGTTTGATGCTAAATAATGTCATACTCTATGATAATATTGTTATGTTTTACATCTCTCATTGTATTATGCACTTATTCAGTTCACCATTTCTTTCACTTTTTGAAAATATCGTTTGTTATTTTTGTTATATGTTTTCTTCACCTATCATGTCGTTTCATTTCGCAGTTTATATTTTTGAAGCAACTTTTTTTATAAAAACATGTCATCTGCAGATAGTATCTGGCTGCCATGCCGTTTTATTGTTCATTGTAACAATTTTTCAAAATATGTCAAGTCTTCATGCGTTCTGTTGTTTGACTATTCCTTTTAAATATTTTTCGTAGTTCTTATAATCCTTGAAAAGATCCCTTTAGGTAATCCAGTACAGGTTTATATGAAATGCAGTTAAAATTTTGAATATTTGTACAGCTGATAGATTTCCGTAAAAATTGTACCGTTGTAAGAAAAATGAGAAAAATGATTGTAGGTGATACGAAGATATAGTAATAGTCATGAAATCTTAAATGTTTGAAAGTCAATTAAGATTATTAGTAAGAATGAATGGAGGAAGAGGGTAACTTTCTTAAGGAGAAAGGAGAGTGGATATTCTTTCATTGAAGATAGGGTGCGAACAGGTGCTAAATAATTAAATTAAAAAATACACAGTTTGTTAAACAGTCTTTGGATTAACCTGAAATCATGAATTTCAATTCATGCTACCTTGTTTTTTCTTCACCGGTTAGCAAGTGCTTATCTGTCATGGATGCGGTGATCTTTTCAAAGCCCGTTATTTTCAAGTGTGTGCCAACTGTGGCATTTCATTTTGTTTCTTCCAATGGGATTTACTGGAATTTCATCGTTTGAATGGTAAAAAACGGATATGCGACACTTGCCATTTGTTTTTTTATCATGCTCTCTTCTGCATTTGCACAACATTTTGTGAAGAAACTGGAATAAGCAAGTGTCGCATCGGTCTCTTCAGCTGTGGCTTATCTCTTCATATTGCCCGCTCTTTTATTGCATGAACTGAAAAAAACCGGTTTTGACATTGACTGAATAAATGGCAGCTCTTTTTCAAGATTCATGGGACCTTTTAAAGCTCAAAATTTTTTCACAGATCCGTTTTTTTTAAGTTCAAGCTTTTGCCTGAAGTCCACAATTTAGAGAATTTTCTTTGTAGTGTTGTCGATGATTTCTTGTTGTAGATACTATTTCAATTCGAATAAAAATTTTATACTTCAGTAAGTTATTCTATGTGTTTCTTACAAATTTTGCTTTTATGTGTGCCGCAAACAATTCCTCCCAAGATAAACTTTTAGCGAAGATTTATTGACCGATAATGAAATAAAGACGGAATGTTCTTGAGTGAAATGCCTGTATTCCTACAGATTCATTAGGTAATTTTTGAAGACGAAAAAGAAGTTAAAAGTAGTCAACGGAGTTGGATATGTGTATGTCTATAGACTTGACTAGAAATCGTTTTTGATTCTGTTTCTACTATCGCTGCCACGGGCTTTGTTCAGAAGTACCAGCCGTAGTTTTTTTCTGGCAGTGGGCTAATCAGTTCTTCAATGCACTTGTCAATTATGCCAATTGGAATGCGCAAAGTTCTTTATCAAAAAGATTAATCTTTTTCTAATTTGGCCATAAACTTTTCAGATTCATTAATCCCGCAGTGTGAACTTCTTACCTTTTTTTTCTTATTTTATCAATATTTCAACTGGAATATCAAACAAGGGGACGATTAGACGTAGATACGTGTACTTTCATAATGTTATTATTCAACTTTTGATACCTTTGACACCAGATTTGCAGGATTGGTTGCTTACAGCGGTTACTGATATACTTGCTGCTGTAAGCGTGAAGGATTATTTAGCAAAGGTTACTCATTTTTATATAGCTATTCTCCTTAATTAAAAGCTCATTTTTCTGCTTCTTTGACACTTAGAGAAAGTCAATAGCTTAATATATGCACATGTTCCTGCTGAAGTATCAGGATAAGAGAGCTTTTTCACTATTGGGATCATTTTTAAAAAATTCATTTAATAGTTGTATGGCGCGCATTACTGATGCTAGGGCTATTTTAGCATGCATTTTCGCCACCTTTTCAGGGTTTCGTATCTTTAGCTGCTATAGCGGTTGCAAGCGTCATCAGTATCCCCTTCACATAGTAGTATATTTTTAATTTCTCACTGTTTTTATTCACTTGCAGAAAAAAGTAATGTTATGAGCTTAAATCATTTACCCCTTTTTATGAATTCAAGTTTTTTATTTTAAATTTGCAGTGAACTACTCAGTGGCCTTCCGGTAACAAATGAAACGACAGAAGTAATAGCCAAATTAAAGACATTTCTTTATTTACTTTCAACATTTTGATTTGATAAAATTCATATCGTTGTATGTTCGCGTAATGTTATTGTAGCTCCAAGCATGTGTTAGTTCTGTTCCACTTAAATTTTACGCCGTTTGAATGTACCATCAGTTTTTGTTTTAGCTAAAGAGAAACTTTGAGTAATATTGATAAACTACTTATTACAATGTATTAATGGGAATGTGATAGTGATGCACTTTGCTTTTTAGACTTATTATTGGAGTACAAATACCCCTGATTATGAATGCTATGGAGAAGTAACTGGTATACCAATCGCGCTAAATTCTTGAACATATAATGCACCTTATATTTACTTTCGTCCTCAAGTATTTTTTTTATAGTTCGGTCAGCTACATACCGTTGTACAAGCGTATAACAGAGAAACAACTGTCGTGGAAGATTGTTGTTGTGGCACAGATGAAGTTTTGACAAAAGTTTGTTAGTTAACGGATTATTCTTCTACGAACGTTATAAGACAATTGTTGAAATATCATGAAGTACAATCGGTCATTATGTTGAAGTAGCACCCGAATTAGTATATCAAAGTACTGATAGTAGCATTAATCGGAGTTGGAAATGATTTGTAAGGGAACAATGAATAACGATGACTAGCAATAAATGACTAGAGGATGTAAGTCCTACTGAATTCGCGGTGCTTCAGTCGGATTTTCGCACGCTCTATAAAACTCAGTTGCCGGATAAAAATTTTAGGGAAGTTGTTCGCGAATATGCCGGAAACGCGAAAATGAATGCTAAATTTGGGAAAAAAGCACAATAGGAAATAGCGATTCTCATCGGGAAAAAGACTTCAAAAATTATCCAGTTATAATTTCCAAAAAATTGTATCATCAGTTTGTTGTATGGATCAATGGTATCAGTCGGCTATATGCTCTTTCCGCAAATTAAATATGCTTATTTTGTTTTCTTAGGTTCCATGCATGAACTTCTAATATATGAACTAAAATATAAATTGTTTCGTGGTATAGGAAGGTTCGATTGACAAGAAAATATACGAGAAGAAAGAAAAAGGAGAGACACGGAGGGGAGAAAACAAGCAAGATGTAATAAAAAATATCCTGAATCGGAGCATTTTCGAATTCTTTTTTTCTAGTAAGCTACAACATTGATGCATTACAAATCAACAACTTACGAGGAACTGAAACGTCACATGGGCATAAATTGCCTGCAACATAGCGTGTTTTCTTCCAATAAGGGGTTGTGACGAAAGATATCTACGTGGCAAGTAACTTGTCCTTACAACAAATCAATCACCAGGAGTCAATTCTTCAAAGTACTGAAAGTTTCTCTAGACCTTTCGTGTAGGATATTCTATATATCTCTCCGCTTCTGGGAATTATTTCTTTTCAATTCTAACTTAGTATGTCAAATAAGTCAGAGATTTATTAATTACCGCAAATGATTCGCAGAGTTCGACATGCTTTTTGCGGCATCGTACACAACAAGATATTTGAGAATTAGATATTAAACGTATTTGAGAATTAGATATTTACAACCCCGACTTTCAGAAAGAACTAATTAATGTTAGTGTAGTACAAATTCGAACATGACTGAACAGGAATGAAGAAACCAAATGATCTGCATTGTCATTTTAATAATACCAATCGCGAAAGGTAGATTTCTATATAACATCGAATAATTGTACTTTATATAGCTTTTTGACCATAAACTCGATTTCCATATTTGCATTTGACAAACAGTTGAACTAAGTTAATGCAAAATTTGAAATGTCATTTTCGCGTGCATTTTGTGCATACTTTGTAAGAGAAAATAGTTGTGGGTTCGGTTCAGAGGTTCCAGTTCGTCTCTCATAGCAGTAGAATATTAACGAATAAAAGCATCGAAACTCGTCAGGATATGTTCCCGTATGTTTGTTTCACACCGCGAAATATTTTTCTTCCATTGGTTTATTGAAATTTAGAACTGTAACTTTCTGTTTGGTTTAGAAATGAACTGAGATGGATACCTCGAACCTCCGGAATCACAAATAAAGCGCACTAAAACGTAAAGATAAAATTGTAGCAGTAACCGTTTTGAACTAGACTTCAAAAAAGAAACCACATCGTTACTGTTTGCCCGTAGATCATATAATATTTCACTATACAATGTTTTCTCGAACAAGGAGAGGAGGCGTTGCATGCTGCAACATCTTTATGATCTTTTTTATCAGAACAAAGAAGAGAAGATAAGTGTGCTACGAAATAAAATTGCAGGAGATATAGACGACTTGAAAGATGAAGCTTTTTGACTTTTTGTATCGCAATGGGCATTTGATATTTGCTTAAACTCACTGAGTTAATAACATCTTTATTGGTGGATGGATAAAATTATACAGATAGTGCTGTTAATCTCATTCCGCAGGCTATTTTCAACAACCATGAAATGAGTTACATGCACTGATTACCCAAGAATTACATGCACGGTAATTACATCCATCATACAATAACAGTTCCATATCCATATGCAATTAATCGAATTACTGCAATCGATTCTCGTTATCACATCCCTCTTCATAATGTTTCTATACCCTAAGAATCACCTATTCTAGTAATCATCCAGTTCGATATGTTCTGTTATCTCATTACATCACAATATATCCTCCATTAGACCCTGAGCATCCCTTTCGTGCGCTTAATTTTAACAGAGAGAAGTGATGAAATTGGAATGTTCGACGGTTGACTCATGAGCCTTCACGCTCAGTTCCAAGACAAAATCTGTGTGTATAGACAACTAATCACTCAAATATCCCTTCCTCTTCATTTAGTGTATCTATCCATCCAACTACCAACGTCTGATCGGTAGCAAATCGACTCCGATTGTGGCGAGTCAGCTTACGCTGCAAGGTTGCTAAATTGCGCTCTCGCAGCGTTCGGGATTACATTTGTGTAGGTTGTTTGCGGTTTTGTATGGGGTCACTATCTGTATTTTGTTAGTTTGAGAAGTCAGTCTCGAAGCGTTAATTGGTTGGCAAAACAACTTAGGCTCGTCAAAACAGTCAATAGTATCTGCACCGCGACACAACTAACCAGAACGCCTTCCATTATAAACAGTTCTTTTATTGAAGGATTTTATTGGAATTAAATTATTTGTCGTTATTCTGAATGTGGTTTGCTGCTTGTATCTGCAATTAGACATTACATTTGTGAGAGGTTTAATGTTTACATGCTTCATCTAGTTATATACTTTGCTAAAAAATACCGAGCACGCTTCTCAAGAATTTTATCTCGATGGATCTTTGATCGATATGAATACTTCAAATGTGGGGTTTGGTAGGTAATTGCTAGTGAAAGTAACCTTGTTGTAGCACAAAGAAAGACAACAATAGAGCCGTAATCACCGCTGCTCTGAACCCCCTTACAATTGATCAATTCGTATTCATAGTCACGAATCATAACTCATAATCATACGAATTACTTCTCGATATCTCCAGATACTTACAATATTCAAGTTATGGTAGGCTGTTGTTCCAGTGGCATGAATTAAGTGGGATCTGTTCAAATACAAATTTTGTCTATGACAGCAGCTAAGCAAATCACATTTTATTGTGGGGAGAAATAAAAGTGTGTTGGTAGGTAAGCTATTCGTGCAGCCACCTGTCACTTTACTAGACGAAGTACACATATTTGCGTAAGTATATATATATGCGTGTACATGTCGGTTTGTGAGTGTACATGATGCCACATGCTTTCCGATAAAAATGTTTATTTTGTGCACTTAGGTGTCTTCACTTAGGTGTTAGTTTCAATTATGAAAATAGGTTGTTTTATACAAATCACTTGGGAGATGTTGAAAGAGTAAGATTTTCAGGCTATAGTTTTTAATTAATGCAGTGATTTATTTGTGATTATGTCTTGGCTTCTATTCCTGTATAGTAGCGGTTGATCTCATTGGCTGTCACTTTTACAATTTGATTTTTTTGAAATTCCATGAGTTTGTGAGTGCAAAAATTATTTTCCGGTATTGTATTGCGCAGTGTTAATGGATGTCTGACACTGTCGGTTTATGCGTGGATGTTTGCATGTCATCGTTAATTTCCGGACTGCTAGTAACGTTTTATTGATTGTTTTACATTTGTTGAAAGCGTATGTTAGAGATGTGCTGCCAAAAGGATATATCTCTGACATGTAAGTCCAGGTGTGACTTACTTCATTCACTTGCATATTGTCATGTTTATTTTTTATCAATTCAATAAGCTGTTTTGAAACATATCTGGAAAAGTTAACTTCTGAAAATCTGTATTTTTTAAAATGTACAATTTCTTTTTTTGAGAGAACTTTGAAATTCCAAAATTCACATATTTAAAGCTAAATCCTTTCGGATGGAAAGACACCATATTCTATAATGTTATTCTAAAAATCGATAAGATGGCATGCATTGTGGGGTTAATATAGCTGCGATTTTTACGATTTTATACTACACACTTCTGCTGATTATTGATTACTTCATGAAATGTGAAGAATGGATGTTCTTAGAGATATCAGTGGTACTCTGCAATACATTTATTAAATAATTTCGAAAAAGTGGATGTTCATACTTAAGAAGATGCATTTGGTTTTTAGGATCAATATTTTGCAGTGTGATATATTAGGAGGGCTATCAGGACTAGGAGTAAGAATGCTGAAGGCGAGCCCAATAATAGTGAATCTTCATTTACTGCTCTACAATGTTGGCTCTCACACACTATTCTGCTGGTAGTCAAGTATGACTGGTAACTAATATTTATTAGTGGTTGGTCTGGATCGCTCTTTCCCATGATTCCTGGCTTATTTTTTTCCTAGCTTTTTTGATTGTACCACTTGTGACCAGTCCACTTCATTTCTGTTCCTAAAGCTGGAGCTTTCTGTGGTGGATATGCAGTATGAAAATTGAAATGAATCCTTATCACGTGCAGATGTTTAATGTTTCTAAGGGTCAGCGGAAGCGCCGTTGCTCTTCCTCATCTCACTGAAACAGCTGTTCACTATTTGTACACTTCCACTTCCTTTACTCAGAGTTAAGGAAGTAAGAGAGGGTAAATCATATTGTTTTTCTTTTACCGTTTTTGTCTCTGTTTTTGCCTCCCCCATTTTATATACGTATTTTTTCCCCTTGCTGTCAAGAACGGATTAAGAGAATTCGTTAATCGGATGCTATAATCGTTAGCACTGAAAAAACGAGGAAAAGATCTTTTTGGTAGACAAAAGCATGGATACTATCGTTTTCTTTCCATAGAAATATTTTATGAAATGGAAGTAGCCTGGTGATTTTTTGGTTGTTTCTTGTTCATCCTAATAGTGGTTCATTACTTAGAACTAGAGGTTTTAAATTTAGCGATAACTAAGATGTTTGCCAAGTAATTTTTGCATAATTTCGATCTCTGATGCTTTATGCTAATTTCAAGTGTTAGCAAGAGATAATATAGTCACTAACAACATTACATTTATCCTAGTTAATGATTTTCTTGATTTGCACTTTATTCACGAAGATTATTTCAAACAGATCAATCACTATATTGCGTAAAACGCATGCTTCACTTGAAATATTTTGCAGGATCGGTGATACCGTTTTCTCGATATTATGTAGGAATTCTGATTGGTCAATTGATTGCTACTAAAATTACCAACATTATCATAATTATCATCACTACAACTAACATTCTCAATACCAAATCACTATCAGTTTTGTTTCTACTATCCTTTTACGTCAAAGGTCTTAATATTTACGGTAGGAAGATGAATGCTTTCGTATGCAGTTCCAATAAATACATCTGTAGCTTGCATTTCACGGTGGCAAATATCGCTATTATTTGAACGGTAAGGTAAATTTAAACTTCTGCAAAACAAATTTTCCTTACTTTTGCTAAACGCATATTCTCTGCAACCGTGTATTTTTGTATTTATACTATTCGAATGGAAATCATTGCAGGCATAAATAAGGAAAATACAAAATGAGTTGGAATGGCACTATGATGTGCGATGTGATGCCAACTATTTCTGAAGATGGTGTTGATCCTCCACAGGTTTAGTAAGATTCCTGACTTCCATTTTTTGGTATTTAAAAGAAATAAATTTGTCAATTTATCCTCATTATTTTGTAGGGATCTGGTACGGAATCAGGTGACTTGTCAGGTTCGGCTGGCGATCAGAATCGTATAGAGCAGTTAATGGTGAATATGCTCGATGAACGTGACAAATTACTTGAACAGTTGCAGGTGGCTAGTTTTAGTTCAAAGCAATTTTCTCTCTTATAGTTTCGGAAAATTTTTTTCATAATTTATATGAAATTATAAGCATTTGAATTGGACATCCTACTTCCAAGTAAATATTATTGTTATCTTAATAAATTTTATTTATAATTCTAATTCAACTTTGTATCCGTTTGATTATCATTCATACAGCATTTTGTAATATTTCGTTTGATAATGTTACTTTCAATAGAAAATGTTGGACCTAAAATTGTTAGTTATATGCTTTTTTGTTTGCCAGGATGCTCAACGACGTATCGACGATTTGCAGCAGCATGTGAAAGATACTGAACGTGACAAGGAAAGTTTGCGTAGGCAATTCGATTTGCAAACTCAGCATTTGCCCGGAGTTAGTTTATCGATTTTTTAACTCGATACTGGGAACAGATCTAGTACGATCTGAATGCATGTGAAAAGAGCTATATAATTGACTTTTGCAAAGAAACTTATGCCTTAACTGTCAGGTCATTTATTTTAACTTGATGTTTAAGTCATAACTAAATAACACTGCAGACAAGTGATTTTTATTTACAGGAATTGCAGTCACTGACCAAGGAACTGGCTCAGTTACGTGAACAGTTATTAGAAAAAGATGAAGAAATTGTAGAGCTGAAAGCAGAACGGAATAATACGCGATTACTGTTAGAGCATTTGGAGTGCTTGGTTGGTGCAGTTTTGTCTGTATTTTACTTTTTTCACACTATATATTTTTGCTGGTCAAGGAATGCACTTTTTAGTCTCTATAATTATCAGGTATCGAAAAATCAAGTTTTGCGACTTTATGGTTGACGCTGTCTTTCGTGGACCTATTATAAAGCAGTGAATGTTGTAGGAAAGGAAATGAATGAAAATAATGTTAAACAATCTTTCATACAATTTCATGCAATCTTATACATAGGTTTCTCGGCACGAGCGATCTCTGCGAATGACGGTTATGAAACGACAGGCTCAGAGTCCAGCAGCTGGTGTGAGTAGCGAAGTAGAAGTTTTGAAAGCACTTAAATCGCTGTTTGAGCATCACAAAGCATTGGACGAAAAAGTGAGCCACTTTTATTTCATGATCATCTTTCCAATTATTTGGAAAAGAAATCATCTATAGTGGCAAACAGAGAATTTGGTGTCAGTATTTCTACAAGTCGGTATTAATAGCTGGATAAAGTATACAGTTGATTTTTGCTATTAATTTTAGGTCCGTGAACGTTTGCGTGTTGCAATGGAGCGTGTTGCAACATTGGAAGATGAATTATCGGCAAAAGGAGATGAAAATTCGTCTTTAAAAGCGAAATTAGCGAAAGTAGTTGCCGAAGTTGAGGAAGCACATCAGCAGGTTTGTTATCCGGCCTTTTCAAAAGCAGATCTGAGATTTTCATGAAACATATATTTAAATCTTCTAAAATTGTGGCTTTGTCTCTGTCGAAAATAAACACTGGCGCTCATAAGTATCCTTAAAGATTTAAATCATGAAGTTCTTTAAAGTTCTGCAATTGAAATTTGTGTTATGAATTTTTCTTTTTTTTGCACGATGTCAATTTTTTTGAATAAATACTGTGTTATAGTTAAATGTATCTCAGAATGGAGTAACAGCAGAAAAGCAGCAGCAGCAAATTGTGAGTCTTTTGATTATTTGAATGGAAAAGAAGCAATTTTAAACTTTACGTAGTACTTTCAAAATTGGAGAGATAGAAGTGACCATAATTTGTTTGTTATTGATTGATTTTTACCAGTGCTGGTTGCTTCATATGCATTTAATGAAGCAAGTTTTATTTTTAGGGATCAGTTGAATCTGCAGGAGCTTTGGTTGAATTACAAGAAGCATGTCAGCGATTGAAACAAGAACTAGCGAGCAGTATGCAGCAGTGTCAGGAACTAAATAATCGGTATCGCGACAATATTTGTTTGTTTACTTCTATTTCTGTATTTGAATACATAGAAAAAGTTAGTAGTCTATTCATCAATTTTCCGTAATTGTATTGTCGATGCAACGGTTCCGGAATATGCGGTTCAAACCATTCTGGAAGCTAGGGCTTTATAATACATGTAATTGTAGGAACACAGAATTAGAAGTTCAACTTACTGCAACGCAGAAAGAAGGTCGAATGGAGCAGGAACAGGTTAACAAACTGCAGCATCATCTTCAGGAGGTAAGCGTATTTCTGTTCACTATTTTTA